GGGCTTGGCCGATTTTGAGTGTGTTAGAGTATTCTCTCAAGTTTATACTTTGCATTTGGTGTTGTGTGAAGAATTTGAGGCATCACACTTGAGGTGCTAGGCTCACAAGGTATGTAGTTCTATCTATTATTCAAGTTAAAATTGTTCCCCATGTATGCTAGATAGGATCATAGCCATGGAAATCAACTTTGCATGATAATTAGACAAACATAGATCCAAGGTTATTAGGGTTGCATGTACACTTAGGAAGTGTTAGAATGCTCAAAACCCAACAGTTCATTGGTGGAACACTCTTGGGAAGACCCTTAGCCCAAATGAACCACTGCAATTGACTTGGGCCGAATTCTTAATGCAGTTTAAGCTTAAGTTCTGCTCAGCCCAAAATCTATTGGAATTGGAAAACAAGTTTCTGACGTTGACAAAAGGGAGCATGTCAGTCGACGAATACACAAAGGCCTTCACAGAAAAAATGGAGTTTTCCTTGCGCATCGTCCCGGATGAGCTAACGAAGGTGGATCGGTATGCGAAGGGACTCCCATGGGAGTATGCGGTGCCAGTGCGTCAAGCACCTACTCTAGAGGCAACTATTTGGGCTGCCAAGTCTGTTGAGGACATGATCAAGGGAAGAACCGCCGACAAGGTTGAAGTTGGTGAAAAGAGAAATTTTGAAAGAACATTAGGTTCCAATAAGAAAAGTAAATTTTCGAAGTCAAATTCGAAGAAGTTTGGAGGAAAGGGAGGTGAAGCAAAATGGTGCGAGAAGTGAAAGAAAAAGCACTTTGGGAAATGTAGTGAGGATGTGACTTGCTACAAGTGTGGAAAGATGGAACATTATGCCAACGAGTATCCGTCCAACAAGAGGATGTGCTTTGGTTGTAACGAGGAGAGGCACATTTTGAAAGACTGTCCAAAAAAGGAGGCAACAAAACCCAACATTCCCCCAAAGCCGAAAGCAAGAGCCTTCCAGATAGCACTTGAGGCTGCAAAAGATGAAGCTAATGTCGCTTCAGGTACCTTTCTCGTAATAAAAAATAAGTAACCATATAAATTATTGATAACGTAAATACAACGAATTAAAGAAAAAGTTAAAATTTAATAATTATAAAACCTAAAATGAGTTTTAGCCCTCATATGTTATTAGAAACCATAAGTTAAACAATTAAATGATTTGTATTTTATGAGAGTCTTGTGCCATTAAATTATAGGTGCAAATTACAATGACTAAATATTATTTTACTTTTAATTAACTTACACTTAAATCATAAACGTCTTATTTAAAAAGATCATGAATGATTAAACGATTTATAATCAAATAATAGCTTGTAATGATATATCAACAACTCAAATCTACCATTTTTATGGAATATAACAAAATAAATTTTAGTAAACTTTATCAACTACATAATTGTCATCTATAGGACCATTTCCATGTAAGTGATTGTGAACATGAAACACAACATGCAGACCTATAAAATTAAACGCCGACATACACTCCATTACGTCATCCTATATATTACACCCAATGAATCCTTTTAAAAGTCTAGTTATACAATTTGAAGTGGAATGAACATCAACATGCACCATCTTACATACTCCATTATAATTTATACAACATGGGCCGTTGGGTTTAGACTTTAGACGATTAGTTGCATAACTTCCTCTTGGGACCCTACTGAACATGATTATTGATGGGTTTTGTACATAAGAACTTTCCTATGTGCGCATACAAACCCTAATGATTGGATCTAGGTTTCTCTAATTAAACATGCATTGAATCCAAGACTCCTAATGGCTAATTAGGTATAAGAACAACATAAAATCAGAGTTAGAATCATACCTTGAAACACTTGTTTGATCTTCTTGTTCTTGGAGCTTTAGAGTCACAATTGTCACTCCTCTAATGGCTTACAAACACCAACTAGCAAAGAGAATGATTTGAGAGAGATGGGAGAGGAGGAAATCAGCCAGGGTATCCTTGCTGTAGAGGAGGTGCCGATTTCCTATCCCAAGGGGTCTATTTATACTTATAAGGCTCCTAGGGTTTCACCCTTAAACCCTAATTGAATAACTTAGACTCTAAGCAATCTGAATCCTTTCCATAGATAACCCATGGATGATTTTATGGCTATCCTTAGCCCTATAAATCGTCCACCCTCTATCATAAAAGGATTTACAGCCCAAAGTGTAACTATCAAACAATTGACAGTTTATACCCTCTTATTTAATTAATCTCTTTAAGTCACCAAATGAATACTAATTAGTCTATGACTTATATTAATTAAATAACAATAATATTATTCATTATATTATTCTCATAATATATTAATAATATCTATTCTCTCATAATAAATCATCCTACCAAGTTGCTATGGTGAAGGCAACCCAAAAGGACCATGCATAATCGGGTCAAATACTTGCCTAATATAGTTGCAGCCTTAGACACTATTCCAACAGTTTCATTCTTGGACCAAGTTATGTTAGGGGTAAAATAGACTTTTTACCCCAAGTAGGGAGTTTTGGTTAATAATGTAGATCCCAAATGTTAATTAGTTGTTTTTGGCAATTGATAGCTCGGGGAGCTATAGGACCAGCAGTCATGGATCATTCGCTTCTTTCAGTTTTTTCAAGGTGAGTTTTCCTTTCCGGGTTTAGCGGGTCTAAGGCACCAAGGCCAACCCTTGATCATTATGTTGATATACTTGTTTTTTGTGTGATACTTATATGTGCTTGTATATATTGCGAGTGTGGGCAAGGCCTGTATTTCATTGGGTCGGCCCGTATTGTGAGTGTGGGCGGGGGAGTGTGGGTGGGGCCCGTATCTCTTTGGACGGGGCCCGTTGTATGATATGTTTTGTATGCAGTATCTTGGGGAAACTCACTAAGCTTTGTGTTTACTGTTTTTAGTTTATGTTTCAGGTACTTCCGGTTCCAAGGGGAAGAGATCGGGTTGATTGCATCGCACACACTATTGAGATTCCGCATATAACATTTAGTCTGATTTTTATAACATTTGATACATTGGTTTTGTTGAGATGTATGAATGATATCTGTAAAACACTATTTTATCTATTTAACAATGAAAATTTTAGGACCATATTTTTGGATGTTATACCTGCCCTACCCTCACGATCGCCAGTGATCCTCCAAGTAACTGGAGCAGGTGTACTCACTGCTCCAACCCTCAAAATCAAACAGTCGGCCTTTTTGTGGCCCACCTAGTTGTAGTAAAAACACATCGGAACCAATCCATGAGGTCAATCCCTACTAAAATGAGCTATCTGACCACAACTGAAACATCCTTGACCTATCCCCATACATCCTCCCTCATGGGTCCTCCCACACTTGGCACAAAGGTTCCAGCACTGATGGCCTCCCAAACGTGAACCCTGACTCTTGGGCCTCATCACCTGGCCCACTGCGATCTAAATCTGCTCTTCTTAAGGTGCTCCAAATTGATCTCCGATTCTTTGGCTCTAGCAATCATATCATTCCGGGTCTTGAACCCTGAAAAACGCACAAACTCCCTGATGTCATCCCTCAATATGCCATGATACCTTAATTTCTTCATCTCATCATCCGCTGCATACAGAACCAAAAAATCCCTCTCCTGCAACTTGGTAGTGATCTCTGCCACGGTCTCAGTCATCTGGCGAAGGTCCTAAAATTCGCTCACCAACTGTTGTTTCTCAATAGATGGTACAAACTTAGCCCAAAACTAGGTCACAAACTCATGCCTGGTCCTTATCTCTAGGGCTTCACCTCCCAAAGTGAAGTCTACCTCCTCCCCACCAATAGCGAGCTCTATGTTTTATAAGATAGAAAGAAAATCTGACCTTCGACTCCTCGGGGAAAAAAACTCGTCCGGAAAGCGTTCACCATATATGCTAACCATCTCCTACTAGCAATGTGGACCTTTTCTCCAAAGAAATTGGCAGCTCCACACGCACAAAACTCTCGGAAGGAAAGAGTGTGAGTTCCCATAATAGCCATGATCTCAGTACGAAACATGCCCAGATGCTCATCCAGAATCTCCATAATCCCCTCCTTAATCGTCCCAAAGATCACAGGAGTCTACTCCAAAATACCGTGGGTAATCTACGACGAGATGAACTCCCACATCCACTCATCAATCAGCTCAGTGCCAACACCTGAGCCTGAACTAGATCCTCTTCCACTAGTTCTCATCACCATATTGAAAAGCAACCATATAGTAATCACAACATACCCAAGAATCCCCATCCATAGGCTTCCTATATTCTCCGTGACTCCCCTTAATTCGAGTATGGATCATATGCTTTCAGTAGTATAGGACCAATACTACCTTCCACACATATCCATACTTTCCTCAAGCATTATCTCGAATTATCCAATTCACCTTCTCAAATCGGTACTCCGAGTACCTTCTAATCAATGCAACCAAACCCACTAATGCACTTCATACGCTCTCCAAGGTTCCGACCTCACTTTACCATCAGCTGCTGAAGAACTCCCACTAATATCAACTAACTAGTTCATGAATATAATCACAAGCCATAAACCTTAGATAATCCTTCGATTAACAAACTCAACCCTACAACGGTTAGAGTCAAACGAGAGATGTGTAGTAGAGTAAAATCCATCACTCTAAGATTATTTAACCTTTGCAACATGTGACTTGACATATTCACTTAATAGTTAACTCGCATCACTAAGAGTTCCACAAATCACAAAGCAAGTAGCATCCGTGTAGTAACACTCCAAACCATAGAACAAAAAAAGAACCTACAAATCTCACTTACTACAACCCATGCT